CCCCTTGGCTCTCCCAGAGCCCCGAGCCCCTCAGAGCCTGGCACTTCGTGAAACTACAAGAGAGTCTGGATTTCTCGCAGGTGCGAGCCCCTCAGCTCCTTCCCAGTCCAGCTCCTCGCATCCCCGGGAGCCCAAACGCCCTCAGCCCGGACTCCCAGGAGAAGTTGGAATCTCCATCTCCCACCCACATGTCTTCCAAATCTCCCGGGCCCTTCAGTCACCCAAGCTTGACATCACGTGGCGCCAGGGTCCCCAGCGCCCTTTGGGCCAGCCTTGAATTTCCTTAGAGCCTAGCAAGTCCCAGGCCCCCTCAGGCCTCTGACATCCCTGTCTTCAGCCTCTCTGTTCCCCAGTAGTCCTGACAAAGCCCCTCAGCTCAGCTCCAGTCCCCACAGACTCCAACTTCCCCTCCTTCCCGTCCATTCCACAACCCTGGCAGCATCCTCTAGGCTCCCACAAAGGCCTTGGGTTGGAAAGCAATTTGGTTCAAAATGACCACTTATTACTTGAAAGGGGATACGTACAGTCACTGCCCCCGCCCCCCCTTTTTAAATTTTCCCAGGAAGTATTGGTAAATTTGGTGCACCACTGAGTGGGTGAAGAGTGTTTTATATTATCTTTAAATATTTTTGGTCTTTTTAAAAAAAAAAAATAGGAATTAGGAGACTTTCGTATGTGAGCATCTTTTTGTATGTGAGCCTTTTTCATTTCATGCCTTTGCTGTCAGAAAAATGTAAATGCGGGACTGGGGACATTTGTTTATACTAGTCTGAAAATGTAGAAACATTCATAAAACGATAGTTTGAAATTGGCTGAAAGTAAACAAAAAAACATTTTTTAATCCTTCAAAATGTTTTAACCTTTAAAAATTGCCCTTTTTGTCCTATCAAAGTAATGTACACTTATAGGAAAACCAGACCAGACAAACAAGCAAAATGTATGGCCACATACAACCACCGTGTATATTTTTCCAGATCCATTCATATATATGTACCACAACATAGTGATACATCTTTTAGGGAAAAATTTTGTCACAAGAAAGTTCACTCTTGTGTTATCTATCTGCTCCCCCCTCCTCTAATACGCCATGGATGTCTGTTTTATTCATGGCTGCATAGTATTTTATTGCATGACCTAATTATGATTTATTCAATTGCTTCCCTATTGTACATTTAGTTTACAAATTTTAGGAAGAAAATATGAAGAATTATTTTGAAATAGGCAAAAACACTTAAAGGTACATATTTGCAAAACCATTTCATGGTGCAACCAAATTATCAAAAAGTGAAAACTTGGCATATCCATTTTTGACCCAAATTCTTCATTTTGGCCAAATTTTTATCTCTAGTTTCACCTGGAGCACTTGGCTCCATTCTGTTCCCCTCCCCACCCCACCCGCCTCCCTCCCATCCCATCTTTATTTCTCATCTCAGAGGGTTTTCTCAAACCTTTCTCCACCACAGATTTCCCTCACTTTTCTAGACTTTTTCCAAACCTTCTTCCCTTAGAATTTCCCTATTAACCAGCCTAACCTCCAAACCTCTCTTTTTCCCTGCTTCCCCTGATCCCTCCCCCTTCCAGTCTTTCTTAGACCTAGGCTCTGGAGCAAATGCTCCCCTCCTCACCTCCCTCTGACCCTTATCGTACAACTTTTGCTCCTTTCCACTAAGACCCCCACCTTCCATCTCATCCTACATTTTCTCCTTAAGATGGCTGCTTCTGAGGACAGTTCTGAGTCCTGTTCACACTTTTCTTGTGGACTGCTCTGGGCCTTTCTACATCCTTCTCAGGATGGCTTTTCCTTTCAACATCCAGGAAATACCCCTTTAGTGCATTTTCTGCAAGAGGAGTAGCCTAGGCCTACTCCTTTGTTCCTCTGACAATTATGACAGAGTTGTGTCTCTCCTAAGAATATCCTGGAGAAGCCTTAGTCATTCCCCTAGGACCCCAGCAAATCAGTCCCTGTCCTAGCCCTGCCATATGTCCCCAGCCATCTCACCCTGCACCACTTTTCCCTTCCATTTCCAGCTTAATGAATTCCAGTGAAGCAGCAGTGAAAAAATTTTTACCCAAGAGCAACTTACCCCGGGTGATTATTCGTGACAACCTCAGTGCACAACGAGTCTATGAGATGGAGGTAAAGTCATCAAAAGCTTTTGGCTTAGAGGGCATTAGTGGCTTGACCCGTGTTCACTTCACTCTCCCCAGTAGCCTTGGGGGGTGCAGATTACAGATCTCAGAGGTGATAGGGGGCCATCAAGGTGCTTTAAAGCTAGTCCCATTTTACAGAGGAGGCAACTGAGATTCAGGGTTACTGATTTACCCCAGATGTCCTAGCGATTCTTGGGCTGCGGGAGCTAGGGAGAGGATTCTATGTTTCTTGGCTCTTGTGGCATTTCTCCCCCTCCAATCATGTTATTTCTCTATTTAGGGAATCCATAAATGGATTCTACTATATCCTGTAGAAAGAAATCTTGGGTCTTAGAGTTTGAAGTGGCATCAACACTATTAGGTCTGTTTTTTCCCTCAGAGATTCCCCCTGTTTTCTGGAGGAGAACTGAAGCCCACCCCCCCCTTTTTTTTTTTTTTGCTTTTAAGTAGGGTTAGACCTGCTTACCCAAAAGCCCACAGAAGAATGGGAGAGAAAACAGTGTTTTCACCACACAGGCTCAATTAATTCATTAACTATATCATTAGGGGCTTTTTGGGATAGGCACTGTGTTGGGCACTAGGAAGAGGCTGGTGAACACAATGGACTATGAGAATGTACTCATTTCTTCAAGCAGAGCAGGCAGCCCAGAGTTGAGTTGCTGCCCCCTTCTTGACTCTACTGACTTCTCTCCAACATTCCAGGCCCAAATCTGGATGGGCCTATGAGATTCTGACATTAAAGAGAGTAGAAGAGGCTCGGGAGATGATGCTAATTCCTCTTAAAGGTCTTAGAGGCCAAAAGAGGAGCAGGGGTCTGGGTGTTTCTCCTTCTGCTAAACTTCAATGGCACTGTGTAGTGGAAAGAGGGTGGACTTGGCAATGGGCAAGCCAGCTTTGTGTGACCTTGGGGAATCACATTTCCTGTAGGACTCTTTCTCGTTTGTAAACTAGGATCTATTAGGATCCTTTTGGTTGCAGGTGACTCAAACTGAACTTGAACTAGTACAAGTAAATGGAGAACAGTGTGTTTACATAATCAAGGATAGGTAGGGCAGGATCACCAATGTTTGGGATGAGAGGAGCCAGGGGCTCCAATACCATTGGATGTATCTTCCATTTTCCCTTTTCATCTCTTTCCTGTGTCTTTTTGCATGTTGGCTGGCTATCCCTGGGGAGCATGGCCCCAAGAAACCTTGGCCTGTAGCCTAGAAAGGAAATGGAGTGTTTCCACTGTTGCTCACATTAGACAGTTCCTGGAGAAGGACTCCTATTGGCCCAGGATGTGTCACTGGTCCATTGTTGCCCCGGTCAGTGTGGCCAGTGGGTATGAGCTATTCTGATTGGCCCAGGATGGATTGGGGGTCAATTCCTATAACCAGTGGGGGAGGGGATGTTATACCTCTGGCAAATGGGTTGAGGATCCCTGAGATACTGTAACTGGAGACTCTCCTGAAGTGCTTTATATGTACCAGAGGGCTGTGCCAAACACCCTCCAGCCATCCAGAAGTTCTCCTTTTAAAGCTATATCGAGCCCTTATGTGTTTTAGATACTCAGTGTCCATTATGTATTATTAACCTACTTACTAGTTCAGGAAATTGAGGCTCAGAGAGATGGAGTAAATTCATTAAGATCATACTGTGCATCATTGTAGAATTGCAAACCTGGGTCTGACTGACCACGGTATGGGACATCTTCCCTTAAGGACAAAGACTATCTTCTTATTTGTAGACCTGGTGACTTGCTAAGGGCCCAGCATGGCAGTCTTTCTGTCTCCCCACAGAGGGGAAAAGAAGCACATTAGGAAAAGAGGCAGCTTTGACTAGCCACTGATTTCTCAGGACCTTGACAAGAACAGCAAAGGCCTTGTGTCTTGGGAATAATCTGAGCACATGGAGAGAAATCACCCACCCTCCCTCTTTATCCCTTGTTCCCAAGATCCACTTAGGTTCTTTAACTCCCTTTGTCACATAATCATGGCAACACTGACTGGCCTTTATGGAGTTTTCCTTTGCTTATATTGTGCTGGGTTTTGAGACAGCATCCGTTTTTAGAGTCCCTGGGAGAGTTTGTGAAAATGTCAACCCCAAGATCACCTCCCACCTGATTCTTATTTCACACGCCCAACCCTTCCCCATCCTTCAAACCCCAACCCCAATTTATATGTCACTCTTACAGGAGGCTTTTCTTGATATCTCCCTTCTTTGAACTCTGTACTTTTAGGGATATAGCACTCTGTGCCTCACTTAGAAATATTTGGGCATGTGCCCCACCTTCCTGACTATGTTGTAGTTGTCATGAAGACCTGTGGTTGATTTTTGTCAGTATCCTCCTCACAGCTAGCTCATTGGAATAAGTATATGAGTGAATAAGATAGAGAATGTGCCTTCCCAGAGTTTCTAGTCTTGTTGGGGACAGGACGGAAATGATATGATAGATGAAATAAGTAGAGTTCAGTGTGATACAGAGGATGTCGCAGACAATATGTGGTAAGCACTGAATGAATCATAGGGACGGGGTGATAGGATTTGAGGAGGAGGAGGAACAAGATGGTCTTTTCCTCCACCCTCCCCACCCACACGTCTTTCTGACCAGTTTTCAAATAGAGATGTTGAGGTCAAAATCAGGCCCCTGGGCTGCCGACTGTTGGAGGTACTCTAGGGGTAATCTAGCTCGATGCCCACATTTTACAAATAGGGAAACTGAGGTTCCCTATGAGTCAATATATTTATGGAATATTGGGTCCATCTGGCACATTTTCCACCCCCATATCAGCAGCATGAGCATTTCTCTTTCTGTGAAGTAGCCTCTTCATCCTAACGTCGCCTCTGTTTTTTGTCAGATAAGAACTTCAGACAAGACCAAGAGAAAGATGAGCCACTTGTATGACCATCTGAAGAAAAAGTTCATGACCGACCAGCTCAGAAAGCTGGGGTGCTGGAGACGGGAATCCATGAACATCCAGCAGTACCTGGGAAGCATCCAAGTATGCAAGGTCCAGTTCAACCTCCATCCTCACAGGAAAAGCCAGCCACCCTAGTCAAGGCAGAATAATCTGCCCCTGAACCATGATGACACTAGACTACAGGAGGAGGAGACTTAGAAACTAGCCAGCCTACACCATCACAGAACCATAATAAACTAAGATCAGCGGACAGTGGAGCACCAAAACCCTCAGCCACTGTAATATTCCTTCCCCTACCCATCCCATCTGTTCTGGTAAAGGTGATCCTGAAGGTCCTGTAGCTGCCTAACTGGGAGGAGGCTGAATCAAGCTGGTTTCCATGGTTAAGGCAAAGATCAACCTCTGGTACCCATGTGTCTGAAGTGAAATGCTAGGCCAGGTGTCCTGGGACAGTAGTACCTTAAATGGGAAGGATTCAATAGTGCCACTGCCTAGTGGTAAGGGGGTCAAGGTGGGGCATTGGACAGACCTAGGTTAAGGGCTATATCTGCTACCCCTCAGCTGTGTGACTTTGTAACCTCTCTGAGCCTCTGTTTTCCTATCTGAAAGAGTGGGCTAGTAGTGAGGGAACCAACCTCCAAGAACTGGTGTGAGGATGTGGTGTGTGGTGTGGTTGGCCTGGGGCCTGCTGATGGCTCTTATCATGATGGCTCCCGTTGGCTTCCAGCCTTGCCAGTTCTCACTTCCTGGCCTGCCTGCTGTTCCAACTACACTCTTGACAGTCCTCACATTGTGCCTTTACATGCACAGGCCCCTTATCCAGAACACTCCTTCAGCCCCCCAGTGCTGTCAGAAAACTCTTCATCTTTCAGTTTATCTCAATGCCATTTCCTGCAAAGTGTTTCTGACCTCCTCTGCCTCCTGCCTGACCCTTCTCCCACCCTGCCTTTGTCACATGGGTTTCTTCTCCCCTCTGAACTTGGATTACCCAGGGTGGCTTCATTCTGCCTTAGGTGGTAGCTGTTTGGGCATTTGTCCTAACCCCGATTAGATGGTACGGACTTCAAGAGCAGGGACGAAGGATCCTCCAAGATTCAGTCCAGGCTTCTTCTGTGACACTTGCCCCACCTGGCCCCAGTGGAAAAGGCCACTCCTTCCTGTGCCCACACCTCTGTCTGCACTGAGTATATGGTTGGCCATTTCTTGTTTGCTCACTGTCTCCCTGACCAGATTGTGAATGTCTTAATGGCAGGAACCCTGACTTACTCATCTGTAACCACAATGCCTAGTAAATGGAGTAGGCACTTGGTGTTTTTTTTTTGTTGTTGTTGTTGTTTTTTTAAATAAATGACTGGTTCCTCTTTGTATTATAGCTTTAGCACAGTGCATAGAGCAAGGGCCTAGTATATATATATTTTTTAAGTTAACCAAGTCCCCTCATTTTCCAGATAAGGAAACTGAGGCCAGAGAGGTGACCTGATATACCCAAGGTCATGCAGCATGTTAATGGCAGAGAACTAGAAGCAGGTTTCCTTACTGCCATGGAGTGGTCATTCTGCATCACAACACCTGCTAGGTAAGGACATCAGTACTCTCAGTGGCTGTCCTCACTGTCCTCACCATGCCCTCTCCAGTCTTGCTGTCTGGCAGCAGACCTTCCTCTAGGCTGAATTTCCAGGAGTCCCCAGCCCAGGTGGCCTGCAGATGGAGGGGGAGGGGGAGATGTTCATGATGTTTTTCTTTTCCTCCTTTATGGTCTTCCTTTGAGAACTGGAGTGTGCTGCTTTTCAGTAGGGGTAAAAGCAGTCTTTTCCCAGACTCTTATCTGTTTCCTTGGCTGATCACAACTGATTAGAATAATTGATTTTCAATATTTAAATTTTATTTTAATATTTTCAATGTTTAAATTTTATCAAACAAGCAATATGACCACATTTGCCAAAGACCTCTTCTGTTAGATCAACCATTGTTAGCGCTTTGGTGTCTTTCCTAAATTTGGTGTATTTGTTTCCTTTCCACAAATATTTTCCCTTGACCATCAGCTGATGTACCAGGAAAGGGGAAAGGCTCTGGGGATCCTGGAGTCTTTACAGGACACACAGAGCAGCCCCAGCCCCTCTTTCTCCAAACTGTCCCCAGGGTCTCCCTGCTTCCTGGATCTCATTTAATGCATTCTCTCTGAGCCTTACCCCAGTCTAGCCTCCAGCCACATGCACCTTTCTCCCCTGGATGGCTGGCCTTGGCTGAGGGTCTTTGCATCCTCTTGCTGTGGCTGGAAGGATTGGGGGATCCTTGGGAGTGGAGCAGGTGGTGGAGCTGAGATGTCAACCTAATGAGTCATGTTATAGGTCACTACTTCACCTCTGATTGTGTGGACTTAGTCTTCCCATTTTCACATTAAAAACCAGGGAATGTTGTGGCACCTCGGTGGCTCAGTCGGTTGGACATCCAACTTCGGCTCAGGTCATGATCTCACAGTTTGTGGGTTTGAGCCCCTTGTTGGGCTCTGTGGTGACACCTCGGAGCCTGGAGCCTGCTTTGGATTCTGTGTCTACCTTTCTCTCTGACCCTCCCCCACTCATGCTTTGTCTCTCTCTATCTCTCAAAAATAAATAAATGTTAAAAAAAAAATTAAAAAGGGGTGCCTGGGTGGCTCAGTTAAGCGTCCTACTTTGGCTTAGGTGATGATCCCGAGGTCTGTGAGTTCAAGCCCTGCATTGGGCTCTCTGCTGACAGCTCAGAGCCTGGAGCCTGCTTCAGATTCTGTGTCTCCCTCTGTCTCTGCCCTTTTCCCATTTGCACTCTGTCTCCCTCTCTCTCAAAAATAAATAAACATTAAAATTTTTTTTTAAAAAATTAAAAACGGGATGGTGCATTTAAGCAGGGAACAAGACAGGATAGAATTCTGGAGACTCCACTTAATTGTTGGGTGGGAAAAAGAAGTTTAAAGAGAAGAAAAATCAGCAAGGAAAGAATGGAGGGGTGTTGGATGGGATGATATTGTTCAAGAAATAGAATCTTGAAGTTAAGGAGGTTTAGAGATTCTTTAGTTCAGTGGATACACATACATGCATGCACACATGTGTGAAACTATTAGTTCAAATGAAATTTTGCCTGGAAGCCCATTATGGTAATCAAGACTTTTGCCATATTAACATTTATTTAGCACTCATGTGCCAGGCACAAGGCTCAGCTCTTTTCAAACATGAGTCATTGAATCCTCCCAATGACAAAGTAGGTAATTTTATTAGCCCCATTTTATAGGTGAGAAGGCTCAGAGAGTAAGAATCCTGTCTAAGGTTGGGCACCTAATAAGTGACAAAAGCCACCCTAAGCCTGTCTCACTCTGAAGACCATCTCCTAACCACCATGTGTTAAGTTTCCCATCTTTATTACTCTAGTTGAAAGTGGAGGGCCTGGAACCTAGAGCCTTCTGGAGCATGATTTCACAGATGGTGTTGCAGGAGCCTCAGCTGTAATAGCAGCTGGACTAAAGCCCAGGTCTGCCTTCTGCCAGGTGGCTAAGAAGACCTTGTCAGTGATCCTGGGATGGATAGGCTGTTTAAGGAGAGTTAGGCTGGGCTAGGGAGATAGAGATGAGCGAGATGAAGTAGGGCACAGGAGTCCCACCTACTGCCCACTGGCTGTGAAGACATGTTCCCAGTTTCACCCTCAGGAAATCTCTGTGGGATATCTTTTGTGTCTGAGGAGCTATGCTGAGGGCAGGGCACAGATGAATATAATCTCTTTGAAAGGGATCGAGTCTGTTTCAGCACACCTTTAATTCTTGCTGAAAATACATTTCATTCCCTCCTCCTCTATCACCACATGCATGTTACTACTTTAGAGTACTTGGAAAAAATTCCCAGTGTATAAAATGTACTGGGTGCACAGTGGACCTTGTTTTCCTTCCAGAATTTCTCCATGACCTGGAACAAAAGGAGGGAGCTTCTATTTACTGAGCACCTGTTTCATGCAAGGCATTTCATATTTTACCTGATTCAATCCTCACAATAGTTGTCAGGTATGATGTCCATTTCGCAGGTGAGAAAACCAAGGCACAGAGAGGCTAAGGAACTTGCTCAGAGTCAGTAGGTTTGATCCAGCCCATGAAATGCATAGGGCACACTCTTTCCATACCATCCAGTCACTCTGGTGATCCTTAGCCTCACTGTCAGCACCGAACCCAATTCCAGCCATTGTTGGCTGCAGAAATTGCTCTGTTGAGGGATACCCATGTTGTGGGCCTATTCATGGCCTTGGCCGCTGACTTTCTTCCTGGCTACTGCTGTTGGCCACGGTGGTCAGTGACATGGTGGGGAGGAAGTATTAAATGAAGACTCAATCCCCTCGTGGCGGGTCCCAGCTCCAGGCTGTCAGACTGGGGCAGTGGCTTTGGAACCCAAGCAGGGGAATGTGGGCTGCCAAGGGGCTAAACAGCTAGAATTATAGCCGCAGCTTGTCAGGGAGCAGGGGGAGGCAGCTGGCTGCTACAGCTGCAGCTCAGAGTGAACCCAGAATTCTTACATATCCACCCCAGTAGTCCGTCTGTCCGTCCATCCATCCATCCATCCATCCATTCCTCCATCCATCCATCCATCCATCCATCCACTCAACTATCCATGTGGCCCTTCAGCACATAATGAGAACACAAAGGTGGATTAACTCATTTTCTTGTTTGCTGTGATGCCTCTCAGTTTTCCTGATCAGTGGGGAGAAGTGGGGTGGCCTGCCGACTGGGAGTGCTTCTGCCTGGCTTCACTTTGACCTTGGGTGGGCAAGTCACCTCTCCACTCTGGGAGTTTGTGGGGCTCAAAAAACCTTAGGGCTGTCTGGTGCACTTCTCTTATTTTACTGGTGGGTAAGTGAGGCAGGGAGAGGGGAACTGATTTGTCAAGGTTAAGTAAGGAATTCATGGTGGATTTAGGACTGGATTGCAGGATGCTGCCACTCATTTGTAAAGTGGGAGTGGGGATCCTGGCTCTCCTAGCCTCCTGGGATTGTAGGGAGGACCCCACAAGGTAAGTGGTGGGAAAGCGCCTTGAGAAGTGAGGTTACTAGGCCAGAATGTCCCAGAGGAGCAACCAAGGCCCAGGCTACTGGGCCAGGACAGATCCCACAGTGACCACAAGGGGTCAGCAGACAGTTGTGAGCTCAGTCAGGATCTGCTGGAAGGCAGGAGCTTGTGTGCTGGGGTCTGGGAGGGAGGCCAAGTCATTCAATTCCTGGGGACCCGTAGCACAGAGAGGTGGGGACCTATCCCAGTCCAGCCCCTTGTTGAATTGAGAAGTGTTACTTTGGGTATTGTAGTACAGAGCCTGGTCCAGCTGATGACTTTGGA